GAACATAACACACGGGTGTTTGAAAAGTTTTAATCAACACTCAAAGTTGTTATATTAAAACTATTATGTGTTATTTTTCACTTGCTTACTGTCCAGACCTCGCTCTTCTTGTCAAACTTTCCCTCCCCACCCCCTTTAGATGTGTCCAAGCTGCAACAATTATTATCACACCTTCCCCCACAAAGACTGTGTTTGTAACACATTGCTCCCAAAGAAATTTGAATTTTGCGCTTGGTGAGCTGGCTACACACCAGTGATTCCTAACTTTTGCCTTGCAAACAATAGAAACCCTTTCCTTCAAACAATAGACAAGGACATAAAAAGAGCAAAAGCTTGAGTTATTGTCCAGCCAAAATCCGAACCAATAGTTTGATATGGTGCACTTAGTATGCCCTTATACATCCTGACAGAAACCCTGGCAAGAAAAATTTGTACAAATAAAAACATATGAGGAATAACTCCACCTGGATCTAAAGAAGAACTCAAACTTTCACAATACGTCGATGACACTACTTTGCTACCTACAGATGACAACTCTATCCAGTAGCCTTTAAAACTTTTGACCTCTACAAACGCATCTGGAGCCAAAATCAATCAGTCAAAATGTAAAGGCCTCTTCTGCAGAGCATTTTCTGAACAAACTGATCAACCTCTCAGTTTTGAGTGCTTTACTGGCTACATCCCAGACAAAATACTTAGCCAGTTCTTAGGAAATGTCAATTGTACCAGTTAAAATTGGAGAAACAAAGTTGACAAAATAAAAAACTTGAAAGGAAAAGTATTAGTAATTAAGGGTCTTTTTTTTTTCAAGGATATAACTGTGCCCCAATGGGTTACTCAGCAACTAGAAAAGATCACTTATGATTTCTTCTGGAGTTACAAATTACATCTGGTCAACAAGGACATCCTAGCTCTTCCAGTGGGAGAGGGTGGATTTAACATTCCTCACCTCCAAACAAGAATCCATGCTTTCAGGCTTAACACCCTACAACAACTAGAACAACAGGATGCCCAGTGGAAATATTTCGTCACTAACTTCCTTCATGTCTCACACATGAGAACTGGAAAATTGAACCTTGTCCTTAAGTACAACACAAACCACATTGACCCCAGCACTCCTCCCTTCCATACAGAACTTTGTCTTGCCTGGATAATCCACAAGCAGCTTCAACAACGTGTTCATCCACCTGAAAAACTACCTGACATTCTAGCAGAACCACTATTTCAAAATGAGCTCATATCTGTCAACCAGGCACCCCTTTTGTTTTCTGGTTGGAACTCCGCTGGTATAACACAAATTAAAGATCTCAAATATGAAACTGTACCAGGCATTTTACCAACACTAGCAATCCACAAACTCCTCACCAAACAACGAGAAGAAAGTAACCAAACCTTGTCAAGGACAGCTCAGGAACTTAAAAAAATTCACGAAGCCCTACCTTACCACTGGCATATAAAAATCTGCACAGGAAACCCACCACAACCCCTTGACCATCAACCAAGCTTTGTCATTAACACTGAAAGTACACAAAACCTAGCTGTTGACATCCTCACCTGTAAAACTCGCACTTCTACTCAAAACTTCAGGAAATCCAACACACCACTCTACCAGGAGTAGAATACTGGAAAACCAATCTTCAACTACCACCCTTGTTCAATCAAAACCAATGGAAAACTATCTACCTGTCCTTGGCCAACAACAAACAAGGCGACGTCAATTGGAAGATAGCACATAGGACCTTCCACACAGCACTGAACCTCAACACAATGGGAGTCTGGCTGACCTCAAATTGTCACCAGTGTAACGGCTTAGACAGACTCCTACATGCACTCATCAAGTGCCCCGTTGTACATCAATTTTGGAGCGAAATACAACTGCATGTAAACAACACCACAACCCTCACTATAAGTTGAAAACCACCTCCAATAAACGATCCTCTACATAGAAATGTGATTGACCTCCTTAACTGGACTTTAACAATCGCATGCTGCTCAATTCATATATCTGAGGTGAATCTACAAATAAGAGGGAAACACACACTACCAAATGCCCTGGTTCAAGGCTTCAGCGAAAGCCCGTATACGCTTCCAGTACCAGGTCCACAAGTGCTGAAACTCAGAAGATCAGTTCATCCTTGACTGGTGTGTAGGAGAGGCCTATCCCAATGTAGGAAATGACACTTTAGTTTATAAATGCTAAATGTTAAATTACTCAAATCTATATGTTAATTGACTTAATTCAATACTTAACGCTAGATGCAACGGTAAATAGATTTGATTGTAAAATTGTTGAGAATAAGTATACCACAATAATGTTAATAAAAACAGCTCTCCAACCTACACAGCATCCGACATTACACGATTTCAAATCGAGTCCCGTGGGTGAGTGAAGAAACAATACAAACAGAGGGGAAAAACACCACTATTTCCAAATCAGTGAGCTAGAGGTGATACCTCCAACCCAATCTTCCCTAGCACGTGCAATGAACAGTTTGTGATGTCAACTCTACTTCTGTGACATCATATCATTCAAGTGATTGAGCAAAGAAGGGAAAGGAAGAAACACCCTGTTTTGAAAGCACTTTGAAAGCCAAAAGGACACCCTTTTAACACTTGCACACTTAAAACAAACTGACAAGCAAAAAATGACACAAACAGTCAGGAAGGGATTCAAACTGCAACGAAGCAGGAAAGATTGGATTTTTGTACTACTCTGTTTGGTTTCTCCCTCGTTTGCTCTTTCTCTTGTGCACTTGCACTCAGGAAAACATTTGGAAAAATGCAACCGGTGACAAAAGAAAAAACAAAAACAAAAACTCAAGCGGGTTCAAAATGGATTAGGGTTAGGGTAAGGAAAAGGGTAAGGGTTAGAACCTTTTTACTCTAACGATGTCTTGGCCATGGCCAAGCTTTCCAAACACTCCCAAAAGTAACCCACAAGTCCTGTCCTTCTATGCTGGTGACTGATAAATGCCGGATTTACAGGCAAAATTGCTCAATTTTGACCCCATATCCTTGTCTACGACCATATCACAAGAAAAGCACCAGTTCTCGTCTGAACACCAAAGTTAAACCTTGTTGGGTGGGATTAGTACTTGGCTAGGTGACCACCAAGGAATACCCTGTGTTGTAGGCTTACGATTTCATTGCTTTTTATCTCTGGAAGTCAAGCTCCACATTTCGGTTCCTGGGTTTTCTTTTCTTGCTGTTGCTGTTGTTTTTCTTTTCTTTTCTTTCACCTCATCCTGTTGCACAGCTTCCAACATCACACGATTTCAAATTGAGTCCTATGGGGGAGTGAGGAAACAATACAAACAGAGGGGAAAAAACGGCACCATTGCCAAGAAATCAGTGAGCTAAAGGTGAGGTATCTGGTTAGATCGCTTCATGGTTAGATCGCTCCAAGTCAGATCGCTCCATACCGAAGTCAGATTGCTCCACTCAAATGTTAGTTCGCTCCATCAAATAAGTTACTTTGTCAGCCCGACCTTTGACCTCAAAGGCTGGCACCACAGGATCAACCGTTGAGCGGCTGGCAAGTCACAACTCCCACTTTACGTCCTGATCAAGCTGCTACACCAGGAGGCCCAGCTGACAGCTATCCAGATCCGTTTGGTATCAGAGAAAAAACTACGAAGGATCCAGCGCCGCAAATACAGAGACCTGCAGGCAAAAATCTTCGATCTCTGGGAGCAATATGACAACAACGAGAGGTCCGCCAGACAGTTACTGAAAGCCTGTTCTTTCCTGAACGGTCCTGTTTAAAGAGCAGCAGACACCACAACCATCACAAACAAAAGGCTCCTTTAGGAGCCACCAAATAAAATAAAAGAAATGACCAACAAGGAATATGATTCATAAATATTGCTTTCAAAGAATCGCCATTTTTAAACGTTGTCAAATCCAGCCGTGAGTGAGACTGGGTTCGACTCCGGTTAAAAATGGCGAGTCTTTAGTCACGTTACAATACTCTTTCTTTTCTTTTCCCTTATCCTTCTGTCTTTTATCAACCTTCCACGTTAGTTTTCTTCATGGAGCGGAGTAACTTATGTATGGAGTGAAGTAACTTATGTATGGAGTGAAGTAACTTATTTGATGGAGCGAACTAACTTTCGAGTGGAGCGATCTGACTTCGGTATGGAGTGATCTGACTTGGAGCAATCTAACCATGGAGCGATCTAACCGTAATTCAAAGGTGATAACTCCAACCCGGTCTTACCTTCCTGGCTACATGCAATGAACAGTTTGTGATGTCAACTCCACTTCTGTGACATCAACTTATTCGAGTGATTAAGCGAAGAAGGGAAAGGAAGAAATGCACTGTTTTGAAAGCACTTTAAAAGCTGAAGGGACGTCTGAACACTTGTACACTTAAAACAAACTGATGAGTGAAAAATGACACCGATGGTCGGGAAAGGATTCAAACTGCAATGAAGCGGGAAGGGTTAGATTTTTGTACTACTCTGTTTGTTTGCTCACTCATTCGCTCTTTCCCTTGCTCGCTTGCACTAAGGAAAACATTTGAAAGAATTTGGAAGAATGCAACTGATGACGAAAAAAAAAACAACAACAACAACTCAAGCAGGTTCAAAATGGATTAGGGTTAGGGTAAGGAAAGGGGTAAGGGTCAAAATCTGCTTACTCTAATGATGTCTTGGCCATGGCCGAGCATTCCAGACACTCCAAAAAGTAACCCACAAGTCCTGTTCTTCTATGCCAGTGACTGATAAGTGGCGGATTTACAGGCTAAATCGCTCAATTTTGACCCCATATCCTTGTCTATGAACATATCACAAGGAGTGCACTGGTTCTCATCCATGTGCTTTCGTGGGATCTATATTGAAAGGTTTGTTTTTCACCTTTGGTTAGTCATTGGAGTGTTCTGATTGTTGATCATCTGAGCTAAGAATAATTGTCAGTTGTCCAGATTAATGTTTTGAGCGGACGATTTTTCTAAGCCAGAGATTTAGTTTTATTTTCGTTCTCTCCATGAAGCCAAAATGGCGGATCAGAAGAGAGGAAGCATCACTTTTGCTCTTTTATATAGAGGAAGTTTGAGGGATTTGAAAGCAGCAATAGAGAATGAAATCTCCGGAAAGATAATTGTGTTCCAGGAATTGGGAAACGAGGAATATCTAGTGGAGTGCAAGATGAAAGAAGATGCTGAAACTCTCATCGAGCAAGACTTCAACTACAAAGACATACATGTTGGCCTCCATCCACCACAAGGTAAAATTGTAAATATCAGCATTATGAATCTACGATCTTACATTGATGATGAAGGTGTGAAAGAAGCTTTAAGTGGATATGGGGAACTTAAGAGTGAAATGATCTGACTCAAATGCAAATCTGACCATGACCTTGCTGGTCTTGAAAATGGAAACTGGCTGGTTAAAATGGTCCTGGAGAAACAATTGATCCCCTACTCGCTCCAAATTGCTGGAGAATGGTGTAGGATTATTCATAATAATCAACAGCCAGTCTGTAGCGAATGTCAGGAACTAGGAGACACCAGAAAGTGATGTCCATCTGCTAAATGCAGAGTGTGCGATGAACTCAGACATATGTTGTACAATTGCGATGAGAGAGAAACTCAAGCTGACTACGAGGCAGAGGAGGAAAGTGATGATCATTAAATGAAGATGAACCAGAAGTCACAATCAAACAATCTAGCAATAGCGATTTTGCTTCCTGAAATCAAACCAGCAAGATTTCTCCCAAGAAATGGAGTGCAAGCATAAAGGATTGTAATGACAACTCAACACTGACTCAGACTCTGAGAAAAAACTTCCAAACCACCGCCAAAAAACCAATCCTGTGCCAAACTTGGAGACATCCTGAAAAAAAAAAACACAAATCTGGTGCTAAATCCAGCACAAAACAGAAAGAAGCTCTTAAAGCAACCTAGTATGCTCCATCTTACTTCACCCTTTAAAACAAAACTTTCAAGATGTCTTTAGCCTGTTTAATTCCTACTTTTCTCCTCTATTTATACATGATGACACCTCTTGCAAGCTTTAATACTCAAGGACTCTGCTCTCAAGATCATTGTAAATCTGCTTTCAATTTTTTCCTCAGCAATCACTTGGATATAATACTTTTACAAGAAACACTCTGGACTGTTGACATGGAGATGCAAACAAATCACGAATGGAATGGAAATATTTTCTACAGCTACAGTTCCAATACAGCAAGAGGTGTTGCCATTTTAGTTCATTCACGCCTTAATGCCCACATAATAGAAACAAAGGGAGATAATGAAGGATGCATAATAAACATCATGATTGACTTTGATGATCACACCATTAGCACCATAAACATCTATGCACCCTCTACAGATACAGGGCGTCAAATATTCTTCTCAATAATAGATAAATTCATTAAGAACAGACACGAAAATAAACTCAGTGGTGACTTTAATTGTATTGCCAATGCGCGACTGGATACACTTGGAGGAGATCTAAATCGTTGTCGCCTTGTGGCATCAACCCTCGAAACAATTTGCTATCAACACAATCTTCCTGATATCTGGTGCAAACAGAACAAGGATAAAAGATGTTTTACCTGGACAGGACGACACCCTTCTGATGACTCTTACATTTCCACATGCATCAACAAATTCTACATTACACGTTCATTAAATCTCTTCATAGCTGACGTGTTCATCAAACTGTACCCATTCTCTGATCATTATTACATGTTGTTATCACTCTTCTTTGATGAAATAAAGCAAGGCCCTGGCTATTGGCACTTCAATAATGACCTGCTTTCAGATGCAAACTTTCTTACTGAAATACAAGAATTCTGGAATGAGTGGAGCGAGAAAATTGACGACTTTGCAAACCCACTCATCTGGGGGAACAAAACAATACAATATTTTAAAAGGATTGCAATAAGACGTGCAAAATTACGAAACAAACAACAAAGACACAAAAGAACCCAGTTAGAGCAGAAACTTGAAAAGCTAAAAGAAAAATTGGTATCTGGAAACCTTTGTGATATAGAAAATTATCTACTGGCAAAAGAAACTCTCAAGCAGCTTAGAGAAAAGGAAACAGAAGGCATAAAACTGCAAGCAAAGGCCCAATATACAGAGGAAGGAGAGAGAAGCACGAAATACTTCTCCCTCCAGAAAAATCGTCAAGCAGACCAAACTATAACACATCTTACCAAGGACAACCTAGATACAACTTCTGACACTAAATGCCTTCTAGCCGAAACACAGTCCTTCTACAGAAAACTCTTTGCCAAAGAACCGTACGACAAACCAGCTCAAGACCAATTCTTAGGTGACTATTCCCAAACTAACCGATAATGCTCGAGACCTGTGTGACACAGAACTCTCCAAAGAAGAACTGGAAAAAAAGGTAAAGGCAATGGAGATTAACAAATCACTGGGAACAGATGGTATTACCACCAACTTCTATAAATATTTCAGGCCACTACTGGGAGATGAGCTGCTAAGAGTTTTTAACCATGCTTTTCAAGCTGATCAACTATCTATCACACAACACCGGGAAGTCATCACCCTACTCTTCAAAAAGGGAAACCGCACATGCTTCAAGAACTGGCAACCCATAACTCTCTTAAAGCCCTCACCAACAGACTCCAAAGTGTACCACTCACTACCATTCATACAGACCAAACTGCCTCAATCAAAGGAAGAACAATAAATGACAACTCTAGACTACTTCACGATGCCATAAACTATGTTAACGAGAAAAACGCTTGCCATTATCTCAGTAGATCAGATGAAAGCCTTCGATCAAGTCTCACACACCTTCCTCCTTAAGATGCTACAACACTTTGGATTTGGCCCAAATTTCATACAATGGATTCACCTGATCTATGATTCAGCATCTGTCTCCATCAAAGTGAATGGGTGGCTCAATGCTTTTATTAATCTAGAGAGAGGAGCAAGGCAAACTCTAAAACAGAAACTAAACTCTCCCAATTTGCTGACGATACATCTACCCTGGTAATAGATGATGACTCTATCAAGGAAATATTTCAAGTGTTTCACCACTATGAACAAGCGTCAGGCACCAAACTAAACAAAGAAAAATGTAAGGGACTGTAGTGTGGGGCTTTTGCCCACAGAACTGACCACGTCCATGGAGTCTCCTGGTTTAACGATCATATACCTGGAAAGATCTTAGGCCCATATTTTTCGCAATGTAGATTGCACCCAGCTGAATTGGAACTCAAAGATACAGAAGATCGAAGAAAGACTCATTATATATTCAGTTTCGTTTGTACCTTCGAGGCACTTGATAGATATTACATGTCTGTTCAGTAACCGCTTGAACATGTGGATCGCTGTGTTATTACATAGTGGCAGCAGTAGCTGATCGTTTGGATTGGGAAACCCCGGAGTTTCAGTTGGCAATGTTCAAACATACAATCGGAGATGATGTGTTGAAAGTCATCGAAACATTCAACTACACCGAGGGGGAGAACTCGAGTGATTCGCGTGTTGTAATGGCAAAAATGGAGAAGCATTGCATCGGCGAAGTCAACGAAATTTACGAACGATACTGTTTTAATATGCGAGACAAGCTTCCAACGGAGTCGGTTGATAGTTTTGTTGCCGAGTTAAGGAATCTGGCCAAAACATGTAATTTTTGCGATTGTTTGCGGGATAGTTTAACCTGTGATCGCATTGTGCTTGGAATTAAAAACGAGCAGACGACCAAGAAGTTACTGAGAATGAGAGATCTTACTCTGAATCGTTGCATTGACGTGTGTCGCAGCGAGGAAGTTGCTGAGTTGCAAATGAAGTCGTTATCTGGGCCAGTGGATAACATTAATCAAGTAAAGTCAAGTTTTAAAAAGCATCAAGCTCCGACACCGGTGGACGGGTGGTTGGCAAAGAAAATGTCCTGCAAATTTTGTGGCTATGACCATCAACCTGATAGGAAGATGTGCCCTGCATGGGGAAAGAAATGCAAGCGATGCAAGGAAAAGAATCATTTTGCCAAGAAGTGTAAGAAAGTTCCTGTCCATAATATTGAGAGCGAAGAGGAGTTAGAGGAGATCAGCGTTGTACGAGTACAGGCTTTGAGAGGGAGAGCTGTGTATGTGAGGATGCTGGTTAGGCAGCAACCAGTGCAATTTCAAGTTGATTGTGGTGCAAGTGCAAATATTTTACCTCTGAGGTATGCTGAGGGTGAGGGACTTGACTCGTGTTCGCAAACGCTTGTCATGTGGAATGGAACTAAAGTGACGCCTGTTGGTTCCTGTGCATTGCCTGTTGGTTCCTGTGCATTGCCTGTTGTGAATCCGAAAACTAATGAGAAGTACAAGGTCCGGTTTCTGGTCGTGAAAGAGGATTTGACCCCTCTGCTTGGCTTAAATTCAATGCAGAAAATGAAGCTGTTAACTGTACAAAAGGAAAACTTCATTAATGTCATGGTGAATGCAAATGATGATCTCACAGCTAATTACGCGGATCTCTTTAACAAAGGTCTCGGAACACTTCCAGGAAAAAGTCAGGATGGTCTGATTTTTAAGGGAGAAAGGATAGTGGTACTTGAGGTTGCTAGGAGTGGTCTCCTAAAAGGTATTCACAATTCGCACCTTGGAGTTAATGGTTGCCTTAACAGAGCGCATGAGTGTCTATTGGCCTGGGATGACAGGAGATATCAAGAACTATGTGTCAACATGTGAAGCCTGCAGAGAGTATGAAGAGGGTCAAAGGAAGGAAACACTCATCAGCCACGAAGCACCTAGTCGGCTGTGGCAGTTCGTTGCAGCAGACCTATTTGAGTCAAATGGAAAAAGTTACCTTGTGACTGTGGACTATTTTAGCGATTTCTTCGAGCTTGACCATCTGAGAAGTATATCCTCTGTCTACGTCATCAAGAAGCTTAAAGGTCATTTTGCGAGACATGGCATTCCTGAGCAACTCGTTACTGATTACGGGCCATAGTTCATCTCACGCAATTTCCTGAAATTCTCTAAAGAGTGGGATTTTGAGCACAGAACCAGCAGTCCGTATCATAGTCAGTCAGATGGAAAGGCTGAGAGCGCCGTTAAGCAAGCAAAGAAAATTCTGTTAAAGTGCGGCAAGACTGGTTCAGACGCATTTCTCGCTTTACTAGACCACAGAAACACACCGCCTGTGAGTATGCAAATCAGCCCAGCACAGCGGCTATTTAGCAGAAGGACAAGAAGTCTGCTCCCGATGACTGCTGCATTATTAAAGCCATCTGTTTCAGACAAGAACGTGACACATACCAAGCTTCATCGCTGCCAGCAGCAACAAGCCAAGTACTACAACAGAGGCGCACGAGACCTCCAGCCCTTAGAGCCCAGAGATACTGTGCGAGTTGAG